TATATTTACTTTTATATTTACTCAGAATAAACTCAATATATCTTTGTTGGATGTGAATCTCAGACTCGAAATGCTTTCTTCTGAAATATGTTTATCTAAAATATTATAATTTTCATATTTTTTTTATCAATATGATTCTTACTTTTAGACCTGCGAATGCATTTTTGCTCGTATTACACTGAAAATTATACACTATTGGAAAGATTTTCCAATGTTCAAATAAACTATTAGATGTATGCAAACATTGTTCGATATCGTATTAAAAATTACAAAGCTATAACTTGCAAAGAAAGCATTCGTGGAACTATGTGCATATGGCATTTTTCTATCAGTTCAATTAAATTGAATACTTGATAATAATATTTGATTCGAATCAATTATTTGCTATAAGCGCAATAATTTTAATATTTTAACACGCTTTTATAGCACGAGAAAATTTCTTATGTAATGCACTGGGCCTGCTGGAACTTTTGAAAGTATGTTATTCTAAATGCTTTCATCACGAACGTAGGGAGGATAAAGACGACAGCAGAAAATCGGAGACACCAACTCCGGAGGTGGACGAAGACGGTTTCTGTATCAGACCGAAGCCAGATCCTTGGGAAAACGAGAAGGGATTTTATTCAAGTTCGGACACGGATTCGGAGGACGAGAGGGAACGTAAGATCCGGGTGGAGATAAAGCCTCTCAGCAACGGCGGTGCACCCATGAGCGCCAGCGTAGATGAACTGAGGGCGACAGTGGAAAATTTATCCTTATCACCTGCACCAACAGTAAGATATTCTTTATTTTAAAAAAATCTTATATAATATATAGAGTATCCCAGCGTGCCGGCGCATCATCTGCCAATGATAGATTCTTGGGATATATGTATATATAAAATATAATAGAAAACACTCTTTGTTTGTCTAACGATACATTGTATTCGAACAGGGACGTAGAGGATCGAATACCGATTCCGATCATCACATGAAAAGGTCTCAGTCAGTGTCACAGCAATTAGGAGGTAAGCCAAGCTCAGATTTACTTGGCCTAAACTTGTTCAATCCTAGCAGTACACCGTCGAGCGCGTCGACACCGACCGGCAGCCATCCTTACGCCCCGCTGCAGAGTCCTCCGCCGCTCTCCACGTCGCCGACCCTGTCGCAGCCGCCGCAGTCCGCGCCGCCGATACACTCCCATACCCGATTCCCAGGTAAACTCCATTAATATTTATTTTTACGAAATGAAATTAAGAAGGATAGAAGAGTCAAAGCAATCAACATATCATCTTTTTGTCTTTAGACGGGGATTTATTTTCGGAAGTTGGGGACATCACGCCGGCGTTGCCGCCCAAACAATCTGCGTCTTCGACACCAACAGGGTCAATCGTTATACCCAGACCGCCGTCACGCAGAGGGGATGGCCCTTCGTCGCGCGGCAGAATGTCACCCGCGACGATATCCCGCGCTGACAGCGTCGCCAGCCTGGAATTTCGCACAGCCGGCGTGGGCGTTGGCTCCTCGCGGGGACCGTCTCCGCTCACGATCGGTCTGGCCGATACTATTCCATTGGCGGTGGCGTTTCACGAGATAGTTCATTCCTACTTTCGCGGCACGGATGAAACCCGGTGCCAGGTGAAGCTCAGCGGCGACATGATGCTCTCGTTCCCAGCCGGCATTGTCACGGTTCTGGCGAACAATCCTAATCCCGCCAAACTTACCTTTCGCGTGAGAAATACCAACAGACTGGAGAGGCTATTGCCGAACAGTCAGCTTATTAGCATGTAAGTCATATAACATGTGCGCTTAATTCGCGCTAATCATTAAAGAAATGGCTGATGAAAAGGGAGGCTCTTGAATGTTTACAGGGATGCGACACAAACTACCGTCGACAGTACGATCTTCGAATTCAACATGAGTGCCTTAACTACGTTGCTACGGCGGCAAGCCGAACAGAATCCCTCGGCCTCGTATTTCAACGTAGACATCCTCAAATACCAGATCAAATGCAAGGACGGTGCCGGTTCTTGCCCCTTTCAGTTGGTCGCATATTGGAAATGCGAGGCGAACCACACCGATCTCAAGGTACATTCAGCCGACAGTTTGTCGGCTATCTTTATTAAGGGGTACTTAAGAAGAAACTGAACGGATCAGCAATGTCAAAAGTTAATAAACTTAATATATTTCGAAATTCATGAATTTGACAAAGCACTTTTAGTTTTATAAAATATAAAATTAATAATTAATTCATGAGTTAAAGTAAAGATTTGCTCTGTAGAATTAAAATTTTTATTTTCATGGATATTTGTGTACAGCCATTATAAAATAATTCAATATAAGATAATAATATTTACGATTTTGAGATAAAACTCTACAGGACAAATTTTCACTTTAACTTACAAATTAATTATTAATTTTATATTTTAAAAGACTAAAAGTTTGTAAATTAAAATGTATGTGCATATTGTCAAATTAATAAATATGAAATGTATTAGATTTATTAACTTTTGATGTAGCTGATCCGTCCAGTTCTTGTAGTCTCAGAGGAACGTAAATACATATTTCATCCTCTACATCATGTTGCGAATGAAATTGTTTTCAATTTTAGATCGATTACAAATATAATAGTCGCGCTATGGCCTCACCGAGTCCTTTATTGAATCTTCATGTGGCGGCGCCCATCGATGGCGGCTTCAAGTCACTCAACAGTAAACCACCGGCGCAATGGTTATCCGACACGAATCGCGTATTGTGGAAATTCACAGAACTTTCGCAACACAGCGAAGGTAACGGAGTCGGGTCCCTGAAGGCGCGGGTCGAGCTCGAACGTGGTCCGGGTAGTCAGGGCACCATATTCACCCAATTCAATTGCGAAGGGACCACACTGTCGGGCGTCGAATTCGAACTCATAGGTTCCGGATATAGATTAAGTTTGGTGAAGCGAAAATTCGTGTCTGGTACGTTAATTAAACTGTTAAGCATCGCTCAATTAGTGCATGATTATGCAATAACAGTGTAAAAAGGATATTTTTTGTGCTACGTAAAGACAAAGATAATATTGTGCGATTGTAGTTGTAGCATTATTTTACTAATAAATTATATATTTGGAATATATAAATTGTGTGTCAAAAATATGATGTATTGTTTAAATTTTTTTAATTATTTAAAAATTGTTTAAGAAATTGAGCTCTTCAAAAAGCATTATTTAATTCTTATTTTTCTTAAATTGAACAATATAATTATCGTGAAATTCTTGATTTTTATTTGCGATATTATATTGTTTCAGGAAAGTATATATGTGACGGAGATTCGGATTCGCGTACCAGATATGCTGCGCCGCCATCCAATGTGGATTGACGACTTCCAGAATGGGCGCCTCAATGGGAGAGCCAGCCTATTTAATATTGGTATTTGCTTAATCATTCACTGCCCATATCATGATTATCGGTCATTCATAACCTGAATACGTGTGGAGAAGTGTTGGATATCAAACGTCGATCGAATATCAGACGAATCTTTCATTTTGGAAGTTATGGATTAATGCGGTTTGTTGCAAGAAAAAATGTCATAAAGCAAAGTTGGCTGAAGTACTATGTTTCTTTCAGTAAAATTTAAATGTGATCGAGATTCTTTTTAACGCCAAATACGTTTCTTTATTTGTGGTATTTATATTAAGCTATACCATATCTTAATACTAACTTATACTTACAAAATTTAGAAATGAGATATCACATTTGATGCTAAATCCATTCCTATTAAATGTGGATCTTGATATGACTTTGCGACTAAAACAAACAAGTAGTGTAAAAATATGATTTACAGTAATCACTTGACGACAAACATGAGTTTTGTGTTTTATAATGTCTATATTCGTTAATTTTTTCTATATTCCGTATTAAGAATGCATTAATAGTTTAACGAAAGTTTAACCATATAACATGATAATTTTGTCTATCAAATGATTGAAAGATTTTTGCGGGAAAATTCTTTGGTATCCAATATACTCTCTAGCACGATGATTTCCGCCATTTGATTCTCTCTATATAATCAAAATATATATTATAACGTTCTTTTTCCTTTTTTTATCTCGATCTTCTACCAAAATATAGTACAACACTCTTTACTCTATTGTTTATATATTTTGCGTTATTCTAATATAAATAGTATATTAGTATTACATTATAATGATCATGCGAAAGAAAAAGTATAAACGACATGTAAATGTCGATTAAGTACGTATACGCATAACATTTATATTTCGGACAGAAAG